CACACACACACACACACACACACACACACACACACACACACACACACCACACCACACCACACCACACCACACCACACCACACCATACCATACCATACCAAAAAAAAAAAAAAGACAAGAAATCACTGTTGGGCCCTAGCTCAGTTGTTCCTGGGTCTTGCCTCTGGACACAAGGACACAAGTGTGCAGACCTTTCCCTTGTGGTCCCACCCCTCTCTTCATCACTGTGTCAAGGTCAGTGAATACACCCTGTAGGCCCGTGGCTCACAACAGGTACCCTGGCAGGATAGGTTTGTTACTCTCTCTGGGGAAATACATGGAGCTTCATTGAGGAGCAATGCAAGTGAGCATCTAGCACCTTGAAAATGCCATGTGATTCTGCAAAGAAACTGGGAGAGGGCCAGCACCCGGAGAGCCACAGCAGCCCTGAAGCGAAGCAGGAGAGCCACACAAGGTCAGGCCCCTCTCGCGACATGGCAGGTCACAGGGGCCCCAGAAGAGGTCAAGTGTGTCCCTTTGAGACAGTGAGGCTCCTGGACACAGGACTGTCAGGACCCCTAGGCCCCAACATAGAAATTAGGTGCGAGAAATAATGAGACACAGTTCACACCATCGGCTTGGAAGGGCATCTCAGGCTTCATCCATCCTGAAGATCTACCCCCATTTATTATCCAAAACACCCTTTATCCCCCAGGTAAACCAAGGTGGATCCTCATTAATATTCTCTTTCCGGGGGACACGGGGCTAGGGAAACACCTGCAACTTCAGTCACCAGCTTTGGAAACAACACCTCTCCCCAGGCGATCTACCTTTTAACAAAGGCAAAGGAGCCATACATCCTGGCCTTTGTCAGGTGGCTATCGTGCTTGTTTGTCAGGATTGCAGCTGCCTAGTGGCCAGTGAGCCTGCCTGTAAATATTTTGTATGAGATATGGGCCCACACAGGACCACCTCAGTTCTCACAGTTTTCCATGTAGGGAGGTGCTGGTGAGGTTTAGGGAAGCCGGGCCTCGCCTGTGTGCTCTTTCCACCGGCTGGGAGGGTTTCCTGAAGAAGTGATGCCAAGGCAGGGTGAAGGTGGACAGCTGGCCTCGTGGGGCAGGGTTCACTGTGCCCTACTTGGGCTGGGGCACATGACTCCTTTTCTCTGAGGCAGCACATTTTCCATTCTAAAAATAGCCCGCGATGACCCAAGCCGTCTTCCCCTCCTGAGGAGTCCCATGGCTCTGTGCTGTTGTTTTCCCAGAATTTTTGTGATTTCTGAAGGCACTGGACAATGAAGGCATTATGCCCATCCGGTGATCCCCCAGACACAACCACCTGAGGACCGAGAGTCAACCCTTCATAGAAAGAACAACTTGCCCCGGGAGATAAGGGAAGCTCCCTTTGACAATCCTCTGTAGTCAGCCTGCCTTCTCCCACCATCAAAGGAAACACAGGTGCCGGTTAACTAGAAAGACCCAGCCGCCACCCCACCACCACCCTGCCCCCATACACACAGGCTAGCAGCAGGGCTTGTCTATGGATCCTGAGGGGTTCGGCCTCTGCCTAGGCCTGAGCTAGCCACACATGGAGGGGTTTGAACAGGACACAGGATTTCTGTCTGCCCTGAGAACCTCCCTACATCGATTTTGGTGGTATTTCCGGGAAGTTCAGGACCCAATCCTTTAGAAGAGGAGGCACCCACTACTGGTCAGGTGACTCGTGGGACCGCAGTTCCTTGACTGCTTGTTTGCAAGCAAATGGGCTATTTTTATGCATCTGAGTGGGGCCCTACTAATGGCTGTACAAGCACTTCTAGGGAAGTTCACATTTCCCAGAAGCCAACTGTTAACTCTAACAGCGCCAACAGGGCACTGGGAGTGGGGGCGGGGGAACTTAGCGATTTACTTGTGAGAGACACTAGCTTTCTCTAAAGGGTTAATGGCTGGGGACAAGACAGTCATATTAAGTTATATATGGCAAAGGGTGATCAGTGGGTGAGCAACGCAGACAAGCAAAAGAAAAAACTGTAAAAAAAGGGGAAGATAGGAAAAAGAAAACCGCAAGGATATACACCCTCTCCCCACCCCCAACTCCCGTCCACCCCCGCCCTCACACAGAATGTTATATGTACAGGCCACAGATTGGAGCGAAGTTAAATTTGGCTCACAGGAATACAGGGAAGAAAGAAAACAGATCAAGTTACACAGAATCCTATTCAGATTTGGGCTTGGGCCTCAGCGCACAATGCCTGGCTAAAGAGAATAAGGCCACGGTGTGCCAGTGTGCCGTGGAGAGCTCACACCCACTAGCTCCGCTTTCCCTGTGGTCATCGGCTGGCCTGGCCCTGGGCTGCAGGCTAATTCCCTGCTCTGCAGGTGGAGACAGATAAAATAAACCCAAACGGTGGTCATGGACTGCAGGAAGCCTTTCTTTCTGAACTTGGTCAGCCTCCAGAAAGGAAACATGCATGGATTTTTCTCCGGACAGCAATCTGTTTTCTTAGGGTGCAGAGAAAGGCCTGGTGGCCAGGGTAAACAAGGCAACCAGTAGCAGGGCTTTTGGCAGGCTGGGTTGCACAGGAAGTTTGAAAAGACCGCTTCCTACACTCTGATTCCAACCAAAAGGGAGCTGTCAATCTTGCAGGATGGAGGTACTCGGAAAGCAGCAGCCAGGAAAGAGCCGCTGCAAGGGGGAAACCTGAGTCACAGGTGTGTGCCTGGAATCCTCCCCAGCTGCCTCCGGCTGCTTCACCTGGCTAGAACCCAGTCCCAGAAGCTGGATTCTACAAGTTCACTAACTGGGGCCAAGCCCGGCTGCTGGAACAAAAAACTCCAGGTAGATTTTTCTCTCCTCTTTCGAGCAGCTGGGCGGGCTGGCTGGGAAAATCAAACTGGCCAAGTGACCCCTGCATGAAAGCCAGCCATGAGATGGTTGGGTATGTTTGAAACAGTAGAGATCAGACCCTGTCCCTCCAGCAGACACTCCAGATGCAACACGAGGAGGAGAGAGGCCCACCAGTGCTTCCCAGGGAAGTGGCACACATGATGATCTAGGAATAACACCCTGTATTGCTGTGGTGTGTGACTCTTTTCAAAGCCATTCTGGTCTCAGCAGGCACCAGGAGTGTATGTGCTACACAGACATACATGCAGGCAAAAGACCTGCACACATAAAAATAAACATTTACAATAAAGAATACAATAAAGAATCTTCCCCTAACCTGGACCTCAGCAGTGGAGTGGGCATCTAGTGTCCTTACTTCTCACTGGCCTCTGCCTGTGTCTGCCATGTGGGGACAGTGTTCAGAGCATATCCAAGGCTGATTCAGTGAGAGATCCCAGGCCTTTCGTCCTTTCTTCTGCCTGTGACGCTGTGGATCCTGAAACCTACACAGACCAAAGGTTGATGTTATTCCTTTTGATCTCTGGTCCCTTTAAGGGGCAAGCCACGACCACTCCCAGCGACTTCTGACCTCTTGTCTCCATCTTGGTTTCTTTCTGTTCTCTCACGTGTCTCTGTCTCTCTCTTTCTCTCTGTCTCTGTCTTTCTGTCTCTGTCTCTCTCTCTCTCCTTTAAGTAATAAATGTTCAGCCTTATGTCTATTTACTATGTCTTGTAAGCCTTTTATCTGCCTCCTGCTCACCCGCCCGCTTGGGTGACTCTCCCAGCCAAATGGCAGCACCAGCTTGTCCGGGATGAGCCACCGCTCTGCCACTGGCAGCCGTCTCTGCCTGGCTCACAGCTGCTCTGTGAGCCCGCTGACCAGGGATCTTGGGCAGGCGGGGGGGGGGGGGGCACGCCAGCATATTTTTTAAAGAACAGTAAAGAACATTAGTTGGCATGGTAACTGTGTCCCCTACTGTCTCCTTTGCTTTCTGTTGCCGTGGTGAAATGCTGAGAAAAATCAGCAGGGAGAGGACAGGCTTTGTTTGGCTTGGAGATTATAGTCCGCCATCAAGGGAAGTCAAGGCAGGAACCAGGAGAGAGAAACTGAAACAGAGGCTTCAGGGGAGGAATGCTGCTTACTCGCTTGCACAGACACTTTAAATAACCCAGGACCATCTACCCAGGCACGGGCTGGGCCCTCCTACGTCAATCATCAATCAAGACAACTCCCCACAGACACGCCCTACAGGCCAATCTGAAGGAGGCAGTCCTTGATTGATGTCCTTTCTCCCAGCTGCGTCCAGGTTTGTGTCAACTCGACACGAGCTATGACATCTACCAAACCTATGCATTCAAATCCAATCTCCAGCACTTCAGAATGTATCCTGATGTGAAAATGAGGAGGCCATGGATATAATTAGTTAAGATGAAGTCACCAGAGTACGGTGGAATCCAAAATCACTACAGACCTTATTCAAGGGAAAACTTGGACACCAAGGTGCATACTATATAAGAGTGAAGATAGAGATCAAGCATGCTGCTGTGAGCCAAAGATGCTAACAGGTGCCAGCAACATTAGCCGTATGAGCCAATTCACTCCCTCGGTCCATACCAGTCTTGGACTTCTGGAACCTTTTGGATAGCCTTGGATATTTCTATACTGTGAGCCCTGGTTTGTGGCTCTCTTCATGACGAGCCCTTGTTCACCAAGATGCTAAGAGACTAGGCAGGACGGGGTGTCAGTCTGCAGTGATTGTGCATTCAAAGCCAGCACCCAGTCCCCGCCAAGCTCCGAAGACATTTATTCTGTCACATGAAGGGTCTCTGCTCCTTTGGGAGAGGAGGAGAGACAGTCTGGTCTTTCTCTTTTACATCTTATCCCTGTTTGTTCTTAGCAGAATTTTTCTGAAGTGTCTCAGAAGTGAGAGCAGCCCACACTTCCTCTTTAGGACATAGACGGGCTCCCGGGTGAATTGTGGGGCAGAGGAATACCTTTGTCCTCAGCAACTTAAGACCTTGCCCGCTTGGTAACTTCCCTTTTATCCCAATGGCTTTTCTAGAGAAATCTGAAAAATGCATTCACATGACTGCAGGACAAACCGCAGTCAGGAACTTGAAGCAGAAGCTTCTTTAGGTGGGAATGAGGCTACAGGATGCATCCACAGGCAGGCTCGTGTGAGGGGCCCCAGACCCCAACAACACACACACACTAAGAACGTGAAACTTCTCCCACATGGTACAAGTGCCTCCCCACCCACCCACACCAGCACCCTATGCAGTGCTGGTTAGACCTCAACTTTCCCAGGGCGGCGTGTGACTCCATTTCTGTTCTTCAAAGCCCAGTGACAATACTATCTTCTTGGCTTGGTGAAACCTTACCTAACAAACCGGCAGTCTTTGCAGACACAGGAGGTCCTGGGACTTCAGCACATCTCATGTGGAATGCCACCCTTTCTCTTGTTACTGTACCTGAAATCTACTTCTTGCTCTATAGCGCTCTTTTAAAACCCTCTCTTTATTCCTTGCCTTTACCCCAAAATCTTCTTCTTTTACACAAGTCCAGAGTTTTTTTTTTCCCGTCACTAAGCATTACTTAATGTATCAATTTGGGAAATATTTTTTTTCCTCAATGGAGACCCTCGCTTATCCATGTTTATTGCGGCTATATTCATAACAGCAGGGAGATGCAAGGGACCCAGCCTAGACGTCTGATGTGGGATTCCCCTCTATATGCTGTGAATGTATTTTATTATCATTGGTTAATTAAAAAAAAAGCTGCTTTGGGCCTATGGCAGTGCAAAATAGAGTAAGGTGGGAATTCCAAGCAGAGATAGAGGAGAAAAGAAGGCGGAGTCAAGGAGACAAGACACCATGTAGCTACCCAAGGAGAGAGATGCTCAGAACCTTACCGGTAAACCAGGGGCTTTGTGGTAAAATACAAAATAACATAAATGTGTTAATTTAAGATGTAAGAGTTAGTTAATAAGAAGCCAACTGAATTAATAGGCTGAGCAGTGTTTTAATTAATATAGTTTCTGTGTGATTATTTCAGGTCTGGGCAGCCGGGAAATGAATGAGCAATTTTCGTCTACAGACATCCATCAGTGAAACATTATTCAGAAGTAAGGAAAAAATATAATTTAAAGGAAAATGGATGTATCTTAAATGTATAACACTAAGTAAGGCAACCCGAAATCAAAAAGACAAAAAAAAATGGATCCTAGTTTATAATGTATACTTGTATATTTGTAAACAGATCTGAGCGTGGGTGATCTAAAAGTCTAGGAGGCCAAGAGAAGGTAGATTAGATGATAAGGAAGGAATGGGGGCAGGGTGCTGGTTACTTTTGCACCAAGTTTACAGAAGCTAGGGTCATCTGAGAGGAGGGACGCTCAGCTGAGAAAATGCCTCCAGAATATCAACCTGTCCCAAATCTGTGGGGCGTTTTCTTGCTTGATGTGGGAGGATTCAGCTCTCTGTGGGTTGTGCCAGATTCTGGAAGATTCCTCCTATCGGTTTCTGACCATTTCAATTTTACATTCACAAGCCTTCAAGAGAGCCCAGCCACCTCCATTCAGTCTGCCCCACAGATATCCCAGGTACAGCAGGTCGTGTGGTGGGGACCCTGCTTCCCGCTGGGTCTCACGGATCCACTTCAGCCACAGTGACTTCCATAGATACTGCAGTGTAACTGTCAGAGACCGATCTGTTTTCAACCCCTGCAGAAGCTTAAAGCAAAACAGTCTTCCTGGCACAGAAGCCAGCCTCATTGTTTTCGAGTCGCACACATGTTTTACATCAAGAGGAGGGCTGTGGTCGGCGTAGGGGAGCTGAAGGGAGATTCAAAGGTTCCTCGGTTCTCATAGGTCTCAGCCTCTTCAAAGCTTCGTCCCACTCGACAGGAGTGCTTCTGCCCACACTTGGGTGCTGTGGTGCGTGCACACAAGGGACTAGTCTGGGGGCCCAAGAGAGCAGATAGCAGACACAGACGGCACCCTTGGCGCGCGCACGCTTTCCCTGCAGGATGGATGGTTCCCTTCAGAGTTTACCGAGCTCCTTAAGGCATAGCCAAAAGCAACACGCAGGAGATCCTGATGGTTCACAAGGCCACGTCAGACAATGCTGACAGGTGCAAGTGGGCTCAAGCTAGCAGCAGGAGCAACTTCTACTAGGGATCTTTGCGAATGTCAAGGTCAATAGGGATGGGGATAGTGTAGCACAGATGCCATCAGCAGGCTTCAGAATAAGGCACAGGGAGGCAGCTAGCCAAGGACAAGGGCTAGCCATTGTATGATGGCGTTCTGAAAGGAAGGAGTAGAAGGGGAGAAGAGGAAGGGGAAAGAAAAGTCAGAGGAACAGGAGAAAGAGTGGAGAGGTTACCTTTATTTACCTACTTATTTTAATTTTCCAGAAAAGTTGATAAAATAGTCTGGAGGCTCTTCCTATACCTCACGCCCAGTTTCCCTGCCCAGTATATTCGTCAGCATTCATCCCAATGTAGAGTAACCGAAGTCTATAGTTTATCCAGACTTCTGTGGTTTTGTAGGTAAATGTCTCTCTCTTGACACAGCATCCCATGTTCAGCTGTCACATCTCACTGATTCCTCTTGGTCACGACAATTGCCCAGACTTTTATTTTTGAAGCCCGTGGCCATTTTGAGAGCCACTGCCAGGTGGAGGTTTGGTTGCTGTTATTGTTTGTTTGCTTGTTTGTTTTTCTACAACTAGGTGATAAAAGCACAGAGGTGAAGTGCACACTGTATGAATACCTGTTATCAAGATCACTTCCCTTGACCCCCTGATTGTGACGGGCGTTTGTGGTCCCTCTCTGCTGAGACTCCTCCCACTATCGGCCGGGAAGTCCTCATGCCAGCTACGCTTGCAGAGTGGGGGGTTACATTTCACCTGGAAGGGTGGAATGTCTATAAATGATTTGAAATTCTGTTGTAAACTGGAGATTCTTCTATATCCCTCCATTCGTTTAATTAGATTTATCTGCAGTTAGCTATCCAGCTCTGGGTGAAGTCGTGCATGTTAATTTGTACTTGAGTGACTTCGCCTCTACACCACATAACTGCTCAGATTACTCTGTCTCCGGCTGCTGAAAACGTCAGTGGCTGTCGTGCCCCCTGACGTGTGTTGCTGCTTGTTTTTCTACTCTTTTCCTGGGACGCTCAAGTGTACCACACTTGAACTGTTTATTCTCTGCTTGTCCTCGGGTCGGCTATGGTATATGAAGTGGTGTTAAGGCTGATATTGTAAACTAAAGTGTGGACAGAAGGGGCTGGAGGGACGGCTCAGTTGTTAAGAACACTGGTGACTTCCACAGAGGACTCAGGTTCAATTCTTAGCACACATCGCAACTCACGGCCATCTGTAACTTCAGGGGTCTGACACCCCCTTCTGGTCTCTGAGGGTACTGCATGTGTGTGGTGCACGGAAGTACAAGCAGGCCAAACACCCACACACATACAGTAAAAATGAGAACAAACAGTCTGGAAATGTGTGTTCTTTGTTATTGTAGTTAAGACTTTTTTCAGCCCCCCCCCCTCCTCAGCTGACAGAATAAGGAAATATCTGTGTCCACACAAACTACCTGAATATTTTGTGTACCCATCTGTATCTGTAGGAAGCTGAAGTTGACTCCATACTGATTCCTCTAACCTTGAGCCGCTGCTGAGTGAACCATCCCGACCTCCGCCTTGTATGTCATCCCCACTCTAGCCGTGAGAAGCCTGATTCTCGTCCTCCACTGTCAGACACTTCACTAGAGGCCTGACTCGTCCTCCACCGCCAGACTCTTCACTGTTAGAACACTTAACTCCTAGCCTCAGAATGTACACTCGCAAGGAAAACAATTATTTTAAATTGCATTTTTTAAAAATTGCATGTGTATGAGTGATGGATACCTCTGAAAATCACGCTGGAGTTTGATCATCATCGCGAAGTATGAGGACGGTGGAAGTTTCGTGGAAATGCAGTGTTTGTAGTAGAATCTCTAAGAGAAAATTAGGATGAGGAAGTCTTCAGTGTAGCCATCACTGAATCCTGGTTGGCCTTGTGACGGAGGTCAGAAAACACACACACACACACACACACTCACTCCCTTTCACTATGTGTTCTTCTGTGGCAGCTTGGGATTCTACCAAGCCATGATAAATGGACCATATTATAAGCAACTAGCAGCAGGGAGCATGCCATTGTCTTGAAACCCTATCAGCCAGGATGGTGATACACCTAAGACAATACTTTCTCCATATACAATGGCTAATTTTCACTGAAAACTCGATGAGGCTAAGAATTACCATAGAGGCCAGGCAGTAGTGGTGCATGTTTTTAATCCCAGCACTTCAGAGGCATGTGTAGGTAAATCTCTGTGAGTTCAAGGCCAGCCTGGTTTTACAACAGCAAGTTCCAGGACAGCCAAGGTTGTTACCCAGAGAAACTCTGTCTTGAAAAACAAAACAAGCAAACAAAAAAGAATTACCATAGAAACAATCCTCTTGGCACATCTGTGGAGGGATGTTTTAGACTGAGCTAGTTGTGTGCTGGAGAGAAGGCTCAGGGGTTAAGAGTGCCACTTGTTCTTACAGAGGACCTGGGTTCAATTCCCAGTATCCTCCTGGTGGTTCACAGCTATCCTTAACTCCTGATCCAGGGCTTCTAATGCCTACTTCTGACTTCAGTGCCTGTCTAGCATGCACAGAGTGCACAGACAAACATGCAAGCAAAATATTCAAACACATAAAAGTATAATAAATCTAAAAATAATTTACATTGAGTTAGTTGAGGTGGAAAAAACCCTTCCAACTGTGGCACCAGGCTCTGGGCTGGGGTGCTGGGCTGAAGAAAGGAACGTGAGCTGAGCATCAGTACACATCTCCCTGCTGCCTGAGGGCCTGACCTCCTGCGACCAGCTGCCCACACCCTGACCCCACCAATATGTGCTCGGAAGCTTTCTTAAATCGGGCCTCAAAATAAAACCTTCTTCCCTGCTTTTGCTTCTTCTCACAGCAATGAGAAGAGTAAGTCACAGCCTGGCCTGTCTCTCCCACATAGGCAGAGCCTGGTATCTAGATTGCTCTGGATGAGGGGCGGATGCTAAATCAGCTCACACCAGGGCAGGATTTGTTAGCTCACATGCCCTCTCCCTCCACCCCATCACTCTCCGATTCCCCCAACTCAAATTCATGCCACCCCTCCAGTGTCTGTCACTCAAGTGCTGAGTCCCTGCCAAGACTGGAGGGGCACCACCCTCCCCCCAACATTCATATACCCACATACGTGCGTCTGTCAATAGGCCCAGGAGAGAAATAACTATTCCATTAAAGATTTCATTTTTGTTGGAATTGATCCGCATCTCTATATTGCCATAGAAATCTGATAGGAGACATCCACTTTTATGGTTTTTTTTTTATGTGTAGTTAAAAAAGAAATAAAACCATTCGTCAAAGACTGTACTTAGAGACTGAGAGACTCAGATCAGAGAGACTTGACAAGCTACCAAGAAGCAGGCAACACGACATAGAAAATATCCCCCAGGGAGATGACCCTGGCTGCTGTGAGGGAGAAGGGAGGGACCGGGCGCTCCCGTGTGAAGATAAAAACAGGCGGTTGGGCAGCTGTGTGACACACTGGAGGGTCTTGGATGCATGAGTGCCAGCTGGTAGGAGCCCCAACCTGGAGAATAACTGTGTCTAGAAGATTTAGAGGCTGGCACTGGGCTCCTAAAGTACTAGAGCCAAGTCTACTTTGTGTCCCTACAGGCCTGTAGCTCCCGGCTGAGGTGACCCTCTGTAATGTCATCATCTGGGGTGTAGTGTCCAGCAACCATAGGAGGACAGAAGCTGGGAGGTTAGGTCCTTAGCCAATTGGAATATGTAACCTTGGGGTTCCGGTTGGCTTTTTATTGGGCATTCTTCTTCTGATTGCAAACCTGATGGACATTTATTGCATGAATTTTGGAAAGAGAGAAAAGCAAACAAGAAATTAAAATGGACCAGCATCATCCTTCCAGCTAACTGGACTCATTTATCAATCAGACATTTTTATTTCCCAGCCTTTGGAAAAATACAGACTGTAAAGAAGAGAAGGCGAGAAGGAGCTTGGATACTGGGAAGTCAGGGCAGGGGAAGGGGTAACCCACCACCCACGCAGCCTGGGCACACAATGAAGAGACTGAAGATGACTGTGTCACCAGAACCCTCAGTACCCCTGAGGAGAAACTGAGGCTCAGAAGGTGTGTGTGGAGAGGGAAGAAACAGGGGTGAGGCCCTCAGAATTATACAACCAAACAGAAGTAAATGGTAAAGCCTGGATGTCACGGGAATATTTCCACCCTCTTTTCCAAGTTCAACACTATCCTCGGGTGACAGTCTCTGGCCCCGAGTGGAAGCTTTCTTTTTGTGGTTCAAGCTGAATTCACGTTTCTGGATGGGGACAGTGACAGACAATGTCCTTGTCACAACTTTACTGACAGCATAAGGAATAGGCACCATGGATCCACAGTGACCGCAATTTTTGTCGTTTTGTTTTCTCTTTGTGTGTGTGCATTCATATATGTGAACATGGACAAGTCTGTACTATAGTGTATCTATAGAGGTCAGAGGAACATGTCTGCATTATAGTGTATCTATGGAGGTCAGAGGGCCATGTCTGTACTATAGTGTGTCTATGGAGGTCAGAGGACTATGTCTGTACTATAGTGTATCTATAGAGGTCAGAGGAACATGTCTGCACTATAGTGTATCTATGGAGGTCAGAAGGCCATGTCTGTACTATAGTGTGCCTATGGAGGTCAGAGGACCATGTTTGCACTATAGTGTATCTATGGAGGTCAGAGGGCCATGTCTGTACTGTAGTGTATCTATGGAGGTCAGAGGGCCATGTCTGCACTATAGTGTATCTATGGAGGTCAGAGGGCCATGTCTGTACTGTAGTGTATCTATGGAGGTCAGAGGACCATGTGCATACTATAGTGTGCCTCTGGGGGTCAGAGAACCACTTCAGATGCTAGTCCTTGCCTTCCACTTTGTTTGAGATATGACATCCCTGTTGTTTATTTGTACAATTGTCAGGCTGACTGGCCCTTGAGTTCTTTGAATTCTCCTATTTCCACCTCCTATCTCCCCATAGGGATGCTTGGATTACGGGCAAGCTCTGTTATATTTCCAGTTTTCATATGGGATTTGAACTCAGGTCCTCACACCTGAAAATGTTTTTCCCTACTGGACCATTTGTCAGACCCCCCCGGGACCACTACGGTGTGTGTGTGTGTGTGTGTGTGTGTGTGTGTGTGTGTGTGTGTTCAAGTGTATGTATGTGTAGAGGTTGATCTCAAGTGACATCCACAATAACAGTTAATTCAATTACCAATTACAGTGATGGCCATCAGTTTCTGTTGAAGATGTCAGGAAGGGATTATTGCTTTAAGTCAGGGCTCAGCCACCTCCTTTTATATTGAAAACCATTCATAAAACAGCAGGAAGTGTTTTTGAATGTCATCTTTTTCAATCAAAATTATAATAGCCATACTGTGTTGTTGTTTTTAAAATAAATCTCAGTCTTAAGATTTTACCAATAAGGACTCAGAAGTCACATGCTAGGGTGACAACCTGTTGGCTCAGAAAGGCCAAGGAGCAACAAGCTGACCCTCATCTTTAGGCAACTTCCCAGAAAAGAGAGCTTCTCTTGTGCTGTCCCAAACCAAAAAGGCTGATAAACTCAAAATCCTTCCCTATGAATTCCCGTGCATTTCTCTATTCATTTTCTTGACTCCCTCTTACTCTCTATGGCTACTTCTGTGGTGATATTTTGTTTGTGCTATAGCAAATAAAGCTTACTTGAAGTTCAGAGTGCAGAGCTAAGCCACTAGCTAACCATAGAAGCCAGGCAGTGGTGGCTCACACCTTCAATCCCAGTACTTGTAGATGTATGACTACACAACTTTAATTCCAGCACTAGGGAGTTGGAGACAGGAAGGGATATGACTGGGCAGAGAAAGGAATACAAGGTGAGAGAAGACAGGAGCTCAGAGCATTCAATCTGAGGATTTGTAGAGACAGGATATTGCCCCCATGGGTCTGAGGATTTCGTAGCGGTAAGAACTAGTGGCTGCCTGCTCTGCTTCTCTGATCTTTCAGCTTTCTCCCCCTAATATCTGACTCTGGGTTTTTATTATTAAGACCAACTAGAATTCACATCAAGTAGTTGCTGGTCCCACCTCTTGACCTAAGGTGGATTTTATTTAATTGACTCAATCTCAGTGATCAAATATCCTGCAACACTGAGTCCTCAGGGAGGGTCTTGGACTCATTTTAAGACTTGGGGGTCTTAGAAGGGGATGAAGAAACACCATGGGGAATCTGGCATAGCTTTTAAAATAGAGTTGTTGGCTGATGGCTGAGAAAGAGCCTCAGGGGGCCTTCAGTATCTTCGAGATCAGGCTCAGGGTGCTGAGTGCACAGGGCACTTGTCACAGGCACCAGGGATCCACCCCTGGGTAGGACACAGACAAGACAAAGTTCCATGGGCTGACGTGGTTCCTCACTTCTACTACACACTTTCACTCCCACCATGAGCATTTGTTGCAAGTTTAGCTAGTCAGGCTCCTGGCTATAGAAAGCACCCTGTTGGACCCACAGAAGGGGGCACTTCCCAAATGAGAAAACCAAGGTCAAAGCAGGTGGGAGTTTCATGACCTTAGTGCCACTACCTACAGAGACTCGAGGGGCCTATGCAGAATGAAGTTTTTTTTTCTTTCTATAGAAATCCTAGAACTTCAGGGAAGAGGTAAAATCTCACTGGATTTAGATTTTTAGGAAAGGAAACTTCAGGGGAATCAAGTCTGCTCTGATTGGCCCTCATGGAGTTTTCCGG